GGCCCTGGTAATCCTGGCAGGGAGGGGGTGGGAGGGGGGGCAAGAGAGTGGCCGTCAGTGGGCAGGAGGGGCAGGGAGACACACACGGGGAAACAGAAGCACAAGAGAGAAAGTGGAAAGAGAGAAGCTAAGAAGAGTTGTGGGGTGGGCTGCAGAGATAGGGTGGGCTGGGGAGGAAGGAAAGGACAGACGAGGGGGAGAGGAAAGAATGGGAAGACACAACGGAAAGGAAGCAGGGAGAGAGGGAGCCCCAAGTGTGAGAGAGTGAGGGGCCACCAGGGTGGGAGGAGCGGCATAGGGTGGGGGCCGCACCTTCCTGAGTTCCTTTGTCCTTCGTAGGGTCCAGCCACCCCCAGGCAGCCGTTCAAAGTACTTGCGAGCCTTGGGTGCCTGGTCCAGCATGGGGGCTGGTGGGATGCCCAACACCTCCACAATCCGGTTCATCTGGTCCACCTGAGAGCAGGCGGGCAGTCAGGGCCATCAGGACCGCCAGTCCTCCACCCCGAGCACACCCCCTCCTCGGGAGCACACCTCATTGGAGCCACTGAAGAGGGGCTCTCCAGTGTGCATCTCCACCAGGATGCAGCCCAGGGACCACATGTCAATGGCCAGGTCATAGGGCGTGCCCAGGAGCACCTCAGGTGACCGGTAGAAGCGGCTCTGGATGTACTGGTAAATCTGGGGGAGGAGAGTGGGCAATGGTCAGAAGTCTCAGCCTCCCCTACTGGTACCACTGACGCTCCCAAAGCTAGGACAAGCCACCGGCCCCCAAAACTGGGGACGGAGGCTCCAGACCCTGACGTAACCAGCACCAACTTTCTAGGAGCCACCAGCAGCATCTTATTCATCAGCCTCAGGCCTCTGCTGGCCTAGTTTGACCCTGATCTCCAGCCCCAGGCCTGACTCTGGACCCCTCCCGGTTACCAGTCAGAAGCTGGCAGTCCGCAAACACAGGCCCTTCCCACCCTCACAATCCAGACCCTTATCATGCCCCCACCATCATCATCTCAAATGACTGCTAACAGGAAGCTGCAAAGCTGAAGCATTCCCGCCCCCCCGACACACACACACACACACACACACACACACAATCCCCAGCTTTAAGAGCACAGGGTAAACAAAACTTAGCAAAGTGGCATCCAGGCTCAAAGCCAACCCAACCTCCCCTGCCTACATGTGGCAGCCTCCAATCTGACCTGCCCCCAGGCGTCACTCTTCTGTCCCGGCAGTATGTGTACCCCGTGGCCCTCTCCTTTACCTCCTTCACCCACTGGACCCACCCTTCATACCCGCCGATCACCTTATTCCAAGTACTATTCCCTCAGTCATCAGCCACTTCAGGCCGCACACAAAAACCCATCCCAGCCTAGCACCGCCCCAATCTCTGGCTACCTGTTGGCCCCGCCCCGCCTGGCCACACCCACACCGCCAGTCCCAGTCCCGCCCCCTCCCGGCCGGGCCGCACCCGCTGGCCAAGCTGGCAAGAGCTGCCGAAGTCCACGATCTTGATGGCGCTGCGCTTGGGGTTGCAGAGCAGGATGTTCTCGGGCTTGAGGTCGCAGTGAATGATGCTGAGCTCAGGCGTGGCCAGGAAGAGCAGCGCTGTGCACAGCTGCTGTGCCAGCTTCCGCGTCAGGTTCAGCGAGACGCCACGGAAGTGCGTGTTGCGCAGGAGGTCGTACAGGTTGTAGGAGAGCAGTTCGAACACCAGGCACAGGTGGTTCCGGAACATGAAGTGCCGCTTCAGGTGCACTGCAGGGAAGGGGACGGACATGGGCCAATGGAGAAGAAACTGCGGCTCACAGAGGGCCGGGGTGCAGCCTGGGGTCCACGGTAATCAAGGACAGAAGCTGTATGCGGGTCTGTGTCTGGGTTTCTTGAGTACTGGTTAGAGTCTGGTGTGCCCGCAGGTACGGATTGCTCGTCAGGACATTTTTATGTGGTCTATAACTCGATTCAAACCAAGAAAAAGATTGACTGACTTTCTTAAGAAAAGTGAATTCAAGTCTCTGTCAGATTAAACCAAAGAGTTTCCATTTGGTGCTGACAGATCTTTAACACCATTCTACACTGCCTCATCTAATTTTGACGTTGTTTTAGTCTCAGTTCTGTTTATTTTGGTAACTAAAGATTCTCGTTTTCCGTTTACTATAAGGATTTGTATTAAAAGAAACACACTCTCTAAATCGTCTTGCTTTTACTAAGAGGCATCAGTACAAGCAAGAAGAAAAAGATCAGCACAGATGTGAAGAGTAAATAAAGGCTCTGGCGCCTCTGGCTGTTCAAATTGCAGTCTACTGAGAGACAAACTCTGTGCCCTCATGCAAATGAGAGCACTGCGAGGCCTCAACTTCTTCATCTCAAGCCCTGGGCAATGATGCCCTTCCGTGGGGCTGTGGTGAGGCATACACGAGTTAATTTATGTGACGTGCTGACAACAGAGCCTGATCCTTAGCAAGCACCCAATAAACTGAGCATGTGAATAGGGCAAAAATGAAAGTGGCAGGAGAATCCCAGATGTCAGGGGATTACAGGCCAAACCCTATCCTGAAGACACCGGCCCTGTCCTACACCGGGTGACCCACCCCTTTGTAGCTCGTGCTGCTTTGGGCCTCACCAATGTAGTACTTCATCTCCGTGTCATGCTGGTTCATCAGCTCCAGCAGCCGCAGCTCAATCTGGGCCTGGTTCAGGAAAGCCTTTTTGTTCTTGATGATCTTGATGGCCACCAGCTCCTGAGTCTGATGGTCGTAGGCTTTCACCACCTGCGGGGGCAGGGCACGTCGCAAAGTGAAGCAGCAAGGAAAAGGCCAGCCAGGAGGCACTCTAAAAGCAGACCCACCAATATCAATATTGATATTACTAAAAGTGATCCAAAATCCAGTGCTCGCCAATAGTCAGGCACTAGTGTAAACATGTGAAATAACACAACCACCTTATGCAGAGTGTCCTGCTGTTTGTACTTTTTTACAGAAAAGGAAACTGAGGCACGGGACAACCAAGTGACTGGGCTGGGGTGCCTGGGCCAGCACAGAAATCGAAGCCACTGAACCACTGACTGTGTTTATCAGTACGAGCGGGCGCCCACGTTCCCCAACCCCGGGCCAGGGCAGGGCGGGGCATCCACACCTGGCCAAAGGAGCCTTTGCCAATGAGCGAGTCAATCTCATAGCGCTCCAGCCAGCGCTCGCCACTGCGCACGATGTAGTCGTGGTTGTCGTCGTCATAACCGTGGTTCAGGACCTTCTTCTCCTTCTTGGTGCTTGAGTCCTGAGGGGGCGCCTGCTGGGCCCGCCGCTTCTTCTTCGCGTAGTAGACCTGCCCAGCCGGCCAGCCAGGAAATGGGGACTGGTAAATGACCTGTGCCGGTGGTCAGGACCCCTCAGCGCCCAGCCTGGGTCCCCCAGCCCTGCCCACCTCGTTGATGTGCTTGTAAGTCTTGATGAGGTCCACGGAGAGCTTTCGCAGCGGGGCTGAGGTCGCATCTCGGAAGGCCAGGGGTAGCCTCCGCGGCAGGAGCCGCACATCAGGCAACACCTGCTGAGGGGGGTAAGGGGGGGCACTGAGGACAGGCCTTCACCTTCGTCTTCAAGGGGGAGAACTATATGGGCAGCTGGCTCATCATGACTGTACGCATTCTTATTTGATCATTGTCTGACAACCCACTAGAAGAGAAAGTCCCCAGGAGCAGAGACTTTGTCTTGTTCCTGCTGTTCTTCCAGTGCCTGGAGCACGGCCTGGCACAAAGTGAATGATCGTGGAGACTGGCTGAGTGAATGCAAAGTGAACTGTCTGCCCCTGCCCTTTCACCCACCATTACCCCTTTCTGAACCTCAGTGGGGGAGGTCCCGTAGAAGACCTGGGCTCTGCCCCTCCTAATCCTTTGCCTGAGACCATCCATTCCAGGCATCTCATCTCGAGGGCCCCCATCTTGCTTTACCCTCATCCCTTGGGGCCTTCCCAGTGCTCACAGCCCATTCTGAGCATCTTTGCCCAGTTCTTTTACCCCAAGGAACTTAGATCTGGATCCAGCACCCTGGACTTCCCGCTCCGAGCTCTCCATTTGGGAGCCTTAACCCTGTACCCCTAGGCCCTGCTGGCTCCAAGACCCTTCGGGCTCAACTTACTCCCCATTCACCCCCTCAAGATCTTTCAGTTTGGACTTTTTTTCCTTAGTGAACATTTATTACTACGTGCCAGGCACTGTCCTTAGCATTTTACATGCATTTCATTAACTCATTTAATCCTCACAACAACCCTGTGAGGTAGGTATCATTACTTGCCCCATTTAACAGAATAGCCTGGAGAACCTAAGTAGTTTTTCCACCAGTCTGGATCTGAACCCAGGCCTACCAAACCCTGACTCTGCCAGCAACCCCTCTATCATCCACTCCCGTGGGACCCTTCAATCCCTGGGAGACTGTCCTGGGCGACCACACTACCTTTTGGTCCTGAGACCTTTCTAACCCCAGCCGCCCCCTACCCCAGGCAGGTGAGGAGCCAGCTGAACGCGTACCTGCGTGTGCTCCTGGGGCCCCGGGAAGCCAGAGAAGGGACCATGGCCCGGTGGGACGGCCATGGTGGGCTCAGAGGGCCGCAGGGGAGCGAGGCCTGGAGCGGGAGCCCGGCCGGGGGGCGCCTTCTCGCATCCTGCACCTCGGCTGCCACCGCCGCTGAGACCTGAGAGCAGGCGGGAGGCAGGAAACAACATGGAACAAGGGGATACGTGGGGCAGTGTCAGGCAGGAAAGAGGTGGACATCAGAGAGAAGGCAGGACACAGAGGGAGAAGGGAAAGGGTGGCCATGAAAGAGGGGACAGAGAGAAGTGGCCGGGTGAAGGGGAGGAAAAGCGCAGTGGAGACCCTCAACAAATGATTACCAAATAAATGAGGTAAGCAGCACAAAGAGGGGTACGTGTGAAAGGGAGTGATCAGGAGCCAGGCAGAGATATGGGTCATGACAGGAAAGGACAAAAAGACGCCAATAATTGGGAGGAGGAAGGGAAGAGAAAGACAGAAACCACAGGCAGTAAAGGAAGTAGGATTCACTCTTTTCCTCCCATTTCTACTTGCGGCCCTCCCCAGGGCCCCCTCGCACAAGATCCTGCCCTCCTGCAGTCTTCCCCCAGCATCGGGATATCATTTCTTATCAAAGCGAGGTCCCTCCACTTCAAGATCTATGGTTCCCAGCAGATACCCCAATAATTCAGAGAACTCTAGGATCTCCCGCAAATCACATGAGTCTTCTGGGCCCCAGCCAAACCATAGCAAAGTCCTCCGCAGGCCCCTAAAACTACATTGGGGTCCTTGGGGACCTCCTGACCACTGTTATCTGAGAACTCCTATATAACAAGAGTCCTACCCCTAAGGCATTCTCATCCACCAGGACACACCCTTCTCAGGGGACCCTCCTCATATCATACCAAGACCTCTCTCTTGTATCATTCCCTCCCACATCAGGGATCACCCTCCAAGCCACATTTCAGTTCCCCCATGCTACATCAGAGCTCTTTCCCGTATTAGTCCAGTGTCCCCCTCCCAATCAAGGCCCACTCCTCCTGATGGGAGCGGAGGGGAGGTGTCTTTTCCCACGTTAGAGTGATCGTCCTCCTCTCCTTCGCACTGGACCTTCCTTACCCACCTCTTCCCAATCCAAGATTCCTACCAGGGCCGTTTCTCCGGTCACTTCTCTCTACACCAGGGTCAATCCACAACTGTGCCCATTCCTAGAAGGCCCCCGTAGCCAAAGTCCCCAAATATCACATAGTTCTTCCCTCCCAGAGTGCCACACCAAAATCCTCTCCCCACTGGCCTTTCCTCATGTCATTCTCTTTCTCCTATGCCAAACCTTGCCACTCCAAGACCTCTCTTCTCCTACGGAGCTCCCCCCAAAAACAACCTTTCCCAGGCCCTCCCACACCAGGACCGTCTCTCCCAGCCCCCACCCCCTACCCGGGTCAGGGCCGGCGCGGGGCCCACGGGGGGCTGGGGCGCGGTGGGGCCCCCAGTGGGGTGGGCGAGCAGCCAGCATGGCGGCAGTGGCAGCGGTGAGGAGACAGCCGCCTGTCCCGGCCCGGCCAGCCCGGCCAGCGCGGCGGGGAGGGCAAGCGGGACAGGCGGCC